AGGAGCCGTACGCGAACTGAACGCTATCCTTATTATTACATCTGTAGAGTACGGACTGGCGGTCAGAATCGGCCTCCAGATTGAGGACGTAAACCAATTTACGATTACTCGATGACATGTTTTTACTAGTAATGGCCTTCCGTTTAGACTATCATTACTGCAACTGAAAAGATGGGCACAAAAATTGCAATCAATTTCTAATTCAATGTCAATTTGAATGTCAGGCAAAACTTTTTTTCTCTCTTCAATCAAACATAAATATTTATACACACTTTTGGAGGTTTTCTTTTGGCAGACACTATACGCATGACAACAGATGAAGTGTTGGAGGATTCCGCTTGTGATCCACACATGGCATCCAATTATCGGATCCCAATATCATATCATTTCGTGTATTTGTTTCAATGTTTTATCACTGCAATAGTTCTTTGGGTTTAGAGACCGATTGCTGGATACTAATGGAAAACTTTACAAGAAGTTCAATGCTATTTAAAACAAACTCCAATCGCCTCTAACTCTGCCAACACTTACCTATTTATTTAATGATCAAAAGTTTGCGATTACTTTCAACACATGAAAAAGTTGTGAACAAAATTGATTACTCGATTTAAAAATTGTTTATTTTCTTTCAAGTTATTATTCCAATAAATTTATTATTTAATATTTTGATTAAATATATAATTTAATGCTGACCTCCAAAAGAGAGAATACTTTAGATATAGAGTATGTGATAATTAAGTATAATTTATAAGTCAATCAAAATTGTGAGACAATTAATTCACAATTTATATCATTTGATCCAATTGTACAGTTATTATGACATAACATAGTATGTTATAAACTAGACATTACTTTTCGTAATCAATGATTACTAATCACATAAAAATCAAATCAAATAAAACATTAATTTAAGTAAAATATATGAGGAAATCGTTGCAATATTTATAAAATACTGTCGTTTCGATTAATTTGTGTTTTAATATCAATAAAACCAATTGAATGATTGTATTATAAGAATAACTTAAAAATGCAAACCAAATGTGCGATTAAAATCGTTTCATTAAACCGGGAAATAATATATTAAATGTGAGACTAATATAAATGCAATCATAAGTTATATTTTAAAAATATATTAATTATAAATTTTTAAACATTTTGCAAACTATTACTACAGAAATAATGTTGTAATCCAATGGGAATCACACTCTTATTTGTGAACATATTATTCATATTAAATATTCATTAAAAATAAAACTAAAAACAAAAATATTTTGCGAATAAAGTTAAAAAACAAACAAATACTTAAAATACATTACAAAATGATAATACTATAGATATTAGTGATGAAACCAATTAGATTTGGCCATCAGTTGTAACTATAGTGATAAATGCCTTCTAATGGCTCCCAATGGACGGGAATGAGCTGTGGCTGTGGACGGGGTTGTGGTGGAGCTGTCGCCTGCGTGTGGCTGTGCTGGTGGTGGGGGTGAGGGAGGAGTCGGTGTCGGGGTTGGCATTGGATGACATGACCCAAATGCGCGCCTGTTCTGTCAACTCGATCTGGTGTTGGGTTCGCCCGCACGCCACTGATTGCCAGTGCAGCTCCAGTGCCGCGGTTTTGCTCGTATGCGAGTGCGGTGTCCACTGCTTTGAATGGTCTGATGTACACGTTTGCGATCGGGAGACCACTACTCGCGTGCCTTTCACTAATCTCACCTAATAATGACATTCAAAGTACAATTAGATAACTATTATTCAATTGTAAGGCATAACATGTGCTAAGCATTGACTGAAAGCAGTCGTTTGTGTGAACGGCAAACAGTGCTCTAAAATATGTGCCAAAATAACAAAACTTAAAATAACAACAAAATCAAAAACAATGCAAAAACCAAACAAAACCGAAAGCGTGCCAAACATTGTGCAAAAAGCGGTGCCAAACATTGATTTGCAAATATAACCTGCAATTTAAACCAAAAACTTACGGCAAATATATTGATAATTGGGTTGAAGTGAGAAAAACTCTGTCCCAACACTACGAGCGGCACAACAATTAGAGCACTAAATGATTCAATTATACAATCAATTGCAATA